GTTCTTTATTAAGTGATAATAAGAGATTAGGCGATTGCTATAACTTGTCGAAAATACAATTAAGTTTGAAATGAGCAAATTGTTTGCATTTTTTTTTTTTCATATCAATCCGTTCATTACATATATGTTTATTAAAAATTGTCCCAAAGGAAGAGTGATGATAAATTTTTTGGCAATTATCTGATAAACTATTTTTACTTGATCTATCTTTTGTAAATATTCATCTATTCGAGTTCTTCCGCATTAAATTAATATTGATGATACCGTGATATTAATATCTGAAAAAGATCATTTGTGATTGATCGGTATTATCCATGAATCAATCACCATTCATGTTTGATTGCTCTAGGAAAACGAGTTTCATTTCGCGGCACAATAATGGACCGCGCCTTGCGCCCGGTTAGCTAAGTTGGTAAAGTTCTGGCTAATGGCGTTAGGCTGGTATTGTTGCGCAATTTCGTTCATGCGAGTAATTGAGTGTAACGTTCAAACTTGTATATTACCAATGAAAGTTTTAATGACTTCAAGTTACTTCCTTGAATGCATGAGAAAAGAGCTACACCGATAAGTTGCATTTTTACCTGTTCGTTACATAAGTACATTCGTAAAGTATTACATGGCTATTATGGAAATGTAAATACGATTATTTCTTTCTTATTTCCAATCTTAACATCTAAATAATGTTGGAATGCATGACTTTATTTTGTACCATCCTGTAAAATTTAGCTTTTTTGATTGCCTTATTACATTCTTTCCATAAAATATAATCGTTTTAATGAAGTTTTATCCATTATTCCTTTTTTTTGCTTGGATTTTCTGTGTTTCACATAGCATGTTAGGGAAGCTTTACATCTAATGAAATTTTAAGATGATTTATTAGTCTGTTTTAATAAAGTTTTATTATTCTCAGCCTTTTTCTTTCAGGTATATTGCATTTAGAAATCTTTTTTTTCCAAGAAATGAATTGCTGCGTGAAATTGTGAAGTTTATTTTATGAATCTTCTGCATAAGCCAATATAATAAAACCAATAAAACATATTGAAAGCAATAAATAGCAACGGAAAGGTTTTGCCGGAAATCTGAAAATAATCCTTTGAGCAAGTTTTCTTAATTTTTGATTTTAAATCTTTTTACGTCTTTCATTAATCTTAAATCTGCTTAATTCCTTTCTTAATCTTAAAATATTTTTCATGCATTACTGTATGTGAGCATTCTTGAGATTTTGGTCCAAATAACAGATCATTCGATTCACTTCACTTATTTAGTTAGGCTTTCGGTGTTTAAACATAGTTAAAATGGAACTTAAATTTTGATGGAAGTTTTGAAAAGTAAAAGTTCCAAATCCATACGTATTTTAAATAACTGATTGGTAAAAAACATTGCCTCGTCAATTTTTTCTCCATCTGTTTTTCTTGGCTCTTCAGCAGTTGAAATACGACGAAAACTTTCTCGTTGCATCTGTCTGGATGGATAATCGGATGACCAGAGTGTTGTGAAACTGCTATTGTTATCATGTATATTTCGGTTATCTGAATTCAAGTAGAGAAATGACCCATTTTGCTGCAAAGCTTTCACTGGACTATCTGAAAATATACTCCGGAGCTATTAGTATTATTCTATATCAGACAGTAGAAGTTTGCATATTGTTTAGCAATAAATTTACCTATATTTGATAATTGAAGCCTGGAATTTGTATTTCTTGGCGGTTTCATATTCCATGGTTCGGTGTGCTTTCGAAAACTGGATTCTCGAACTCGTATGCGTCGTTTTTTTCTCAAGTCTAACTTATCCACATAGCCAACGACTGCTAACTGCAAAAAGATAGCAAATGATTCTCTTAATTTGTCTGTATCTTAAATTAGCCATTTTGATTCATGATTTTGCTTGCCTGAACCCTTCTTTCGCATAAAGTAATAAGAATAAAAATAGGAGTAAAAATGTATTATCCTTGATGGTATTACCTCAACAAGAGACAAAAAGATAAAGCCAACACAGCCAAACATCCATATATCCAGTGCCTGAATAATGAATCTGTATTAACATACTTTTTTATCTAATATTTAAATACTTTTTCTTTTATTCTCTGTTATGGCTTGGCAGAAGTCTTATCACATTCAATAATTATGAACTTAGAAAGTGGGAATTTTACCAGCTAGACCAGCTTATTTATTTGTTTGCCAGTGTAGTTAAGAAGTAGAGAATATGAGTTTTGGTAAATTATCGCTAATGGACTTTGCACTTTTAACATACACAAATATTACTTAACTATATTTTTAAGTTATTACTAAAGAAAAATGAAAAAGACTTTTACATTCAACCTATTTTTATGAAGCAGTGAAAATTGGTTTACTATTAAAATCTCTCCATATCTTCTTACCTTTACGTATGACACACGTGGTAAATTTTTGACAATGTTACCAAACTGAAAAGTTAACGCCATCAGTGAGCTAACACCAAGCGTTATGCGTGCTGGCAGAGCTTTTGTATCGATCCAGAATGCTATCCATGATATAAATACTGATAAATATGTAGGCATATAGGCCTGTAAAAAGAGATATTAAAATAATGTATCTTTAATTTAATTTTTAGAAGAGAAGTTAAAATATTGGATCGAAAAAAGAAAAGAAGTTAAAATATAGGACTTGACTGTTACATCTCATTTATTTATTAGGACAATTTTCTAGCCTATATATATATAT